TTTTAACAAAATCAAACCAGTAACATCCTGATGTACGCTCCAATATTGTTGAAATTACTGCGAAATGGTTCGCATTTATATGGACGGACGCCCAGTAAGATGCGACATTGAATAAAACCAATATACCCATTTTATTTCGTGAAAGAGTGCAAAAATAAATTACTTTTTAAAACAATTCGCGAGCGTACAACTTTTCAAATATTTCGCCCCACAAATGGAAAAACGAACAAAATTGTTCCACTTCACTAGTAAAATACAGAGTTGAGCAACAATAACAACGAATAAGCCCCACAAATAACAAATTTACACCACAACAAGAAGTAGGAATGCTAAGAAGTAAGATAGCTCTAGTCGTTAGTGCCGCACTACGAACTACCCTCTGGGCGCCGGCCCAAATCCGTTTTTCAACATACTAGCTGGTATGCATACACACGCAAATGGCCAACAAATCGAAAACGGAATGAATGCCAAAAGTAAGTGGAAATCTCTGTAAATTAAATAAAACAGCAGTTACAAATGGCAAGAGCAAAAGCAACAGAGTGAGTGAGCATAAGCTTAAGAGTGTGAGCGATCATACAGTTTGAGACTGACTGACACACTCCAACTGTACTCGCGTTTGTCATGCTTTATTTTTGTATGTAAATTGTTTTTATTTTCGCTTTTGTTTCTGCTTCTCTGCTTCTGTGTCTGCTGCTTCCATATATTAACAAAGCAGACTAGCCACACCATATTCATCATCGGCTATGCTTGTGTGCGCTTTTGTTTCTGGCTCTGTATCTATTTACTGGCCTTCGCCCATGTGCCGCGGTTTCGCAAGCATTGGCTTTGAAAAGCCTCCCATCAATGCAGATATTCTCTGTTGCTATTATTGTTTACTTAATGATGCTTGCTTCTATTTTCGGTTTGAGGTTCTATCTACGGGATCTAATCATACTCATTCTCTAAGTCAAATGAGTATATTGGTTTTGTGTCAGTCTTGCCGTCTGAACGCACACAATTTATCCGCTACTACACTTAAAGAAATTGAAATATAGACTCACGCCCATTTGTCGGGTAAAATCCTTATAGGCTTATGAATTTTATTGATCCACGCATTCTAGGTGTATGGCAAACCGGATCTGACTAATAATTATGTTATATTTTGAGCATTATTGGGAACAGACGCTTGAAATCTAGAATATATACCCGTATATAAATATATATAGATTATGTATTATTTAAACGTCTATATCTCTTAACTAAACTTAAAAATTGAATTGTTAAGTTACTGTTGTTCGCCTCTATCAAGAAGAAATTTACGCCTTATTGAGGGCGCTGCCGATTGACAATATCTTTGTATTTCCACATTATTGAAACCTAAGCCCCAAAATTTGACAGTTACATTACTGAATACTTCTTATAAGGGTTGGTCAAATATTATATACCCCTGTCCACTGGGGGCAAAACGCACATCTCCTAATTTGGAGCTGATAGCTGCGAATGAGTCTTAAGCAGTTGATAGCGCACGACTGCAATATTCTTACTTGATTAAACAATCTTATTTTCATGTAAACTTATTTTCTTTGATTAGAAAATATATTTATGTTATTACACGGCCTAAGCATTATATTTTTTAAGAACCTGGAGTTCTAATTATGCAGTGGTCGAAAATTTACTAATAAAATTAATTAATTGAATTAAAATTAAAATTAAATTAACTACGTGTATCAGAGAGTCCTATTTTTTTGTTTAAACCCTAAAACCAGTGTATAATAGCTTAGTGAAGATATAAGTAACACGCAGCAGCAGGCGTGTATATTCTTGATCAAAACAATATGCTGAATCTATCTAGATGTACGTCTGTTTGAAAGCAGCGAACTTTTAAATTACACAATATAGAGACTATAGAGATTTTAAATATATATATTATCGTGATTCGATTTGAGATTTGATATGTCAAACGTACTGTATGCTTTGGCAAATACATACATACGAATGTCATTAACACGCTCTAAAAATTTGATTTAAAAAGTTCATCGAGAGAAAAGTTATTCAGTAATTAAGTATCCATAGAAATGTATATACAAAAGAAATATCAACTGTAACATGGTTCAGGGTATCTCCTAGTCGGTAACTCATTACTATAAAACTTTTACTTCACATTTTACTTTACTTTTACTATATAATTTTGCATTTACATTTTGGCTATAAATTAAGAAGCTTAAACATTGAAACTTTAAATTTAAAGAATTGTATTCAATAAATTTATTAAAATAGCTATAAGTAATTAATGAAAATTTAAGTATTTGCAAAAAAACTGAATCCAAAAATAGTTATTAAAGTTGAAGAGCTCAAAAGTTTGATATCCAAAACGTAAAGACTTTGGGAATACAGATACTCTGCAAAACTACAGCAGATGTGCGCTCTCAGTAATCATGTCAGTGATGCGGTCACATTAAAGTTATGTCGGCCGGCATTTTTTTCTTTTGTGTACACTGATTGAAGAGCTGGGGACAACAGAATCTCGGAAGAGAGCTGCAGAACCAGAATCCAAATGCTTAGTCATCGAACTTGGCCTAATGCAAAACAAGACAAACAGAGAAAAAAGAAGCAACAGCGCAGGCAGCGGCTACTGTAGACAACACTTTAGCCCAACCCAATGACTCAGCCCGGTTCAGCAAAATGTGCTACCAGTTTGCCAAAAAGCAACAACAAGAAGTGCAATAGCAAGAAAAATAGTTTTAGCTTCATCTTTGGACCTGGTTGACTCTCAGCTGTTGTAATAAACATCTGCTATGCCCTGAGATTTGTATACCCTGGACCCATTGAAAATAAGAAATCAGGGTATAACAGTTTTAGCAGTTACGTAGCTAGGTAGACTCCACATATACATATTCTTGATCAGGACAACGAATTACCGAATTGCCCCTCCGTCCCTCTGTCTTCTTTTCTTATTTTGTTTGAAAAACGTGCTATTGGATGGTAAAAGTGCGAGTTAGAAATTCGTTATAATTTTTTGCAAAATACAAGCTAGAAATTATATTTTTCAAACGTAGATTGGACAGAGTTCGGGGTATCTACTAGTCGAACACTTCCGACTAAAGTTTTCTTACTCGTTTCGCTAGATTTTGCATTTATGCTACGTCATGCTTTCGCGCAACGCCCTAAACTCTGGCAATGCCCTCGAGATGTATCCCGTGAATGCGCCTGCACACAGACATTACTGTGCTCCCACACAACCACAAACACACATACACATATACACACACACTCATACACACACACTCATACACACACACACATACGTATATAGATGATTCGTGTTGTGCGCTCTCAATTAGTAATTCATATAACGTGCTAAAAAATAAAAGAGTCTGCCGCTACAGTTGATTACGGCCCGCATCTCCAAGACATTGGCTACTTACCGCCGTCGCCGACCCTTGCGTCTGGATCATTCTTTAGCTACACCATATTGTTTACTGTCTGCTTTGACAAAAACTTTGCATTCCGTGTTGTCATTAGGGTGCCTCCACCAGATCCTTGCTTCTGGGTCGCTGGCACAAGACTCGATTCCAGACATTGTTTGTTTACTACTAACTTGAGAGGTATTACTCCTCCTTGTCTGTAGGCTCTTTATTATATGTAAGTATCTATCATCGTATTAGGCTTCACGCCATTAGTCTCGATGTGTTTTCTGGCCAAGTCATCTGTTAGCTATGGCTAAATACAGTTTCTCTGTGCTTTGTTGGCCACATTATGATACAAATACAACAATAAAAATGTTAATGTAATGTAATTATAATTTGTTGTTTTACTAAACAAATACATAAAAAAAATATATATACTCGTCAGCTTTACATCTACGTCTGTTAGCGATATGTATAATGCGATATGTATAATAATTGTGTTAGGAGTGAGAATTTTAAATATTTTTACAGTCTTTCAGTTGGCTGAATTTGAAGTGAAAAATTGTACTGTTCAATGTACATCTTCCTGTTAGTTCATCTGTTCATATGGACACAAACCATTTCGCTGCAGCTAGAGACTTGGAATGTGGAGTATATACTATCGATAGAGGCTCCACTCGATGGTTTTAAACATCGATACTTTCGATAGTTCCATCGATCCATCGATAAAGAAATGTTTTTTTTTATCCTGAACTTGTTTAAAATGATAAATCAGTTTTTAATGATTTTGTGAAAATGTTATAAAATAAATATAAAATAAAATAAACTGTATTTATTTATAATTAAGATGAAGAGATGATCGTCTGTCTGTTCGTTTAAACGGTGCAGTATCGTAAAAAACAAAACCTAGAGACTTTAAATTTTAAATATAATTTATAATTTTTCGATAACTCATCCGATCAAAATCAATAATTTTACTTCGTTTTTTAATCGTAGCTTTAATTTCATAAAAAATGGAAACATCCGATTCCCATAATGAAAATACAGATTTATCATATTTTGATTTTTGACAACTCCCCGTTTCCCACAAATTCACAATAATACTAAAGACTTGGCAAATACACACATATGAATGAATGTTATTATCACCCTCTAAAATGATTAAGAAAGTCCATATAAAACAGCTATAAAAAAGTTATTCAACAATTAATTTAGTATAGCATAGCGTAGTCCAAGCGCAGTCACCGAGTAAACTAAATTGCGCAGTAAGCAGTGGGAATGCATGTATTGTATGTGTGTATATATATATAGAAAAGAATCGTGTATAAAAGAATCGTATTTTATAGTTGAGCTGTGTCGAGTAGAGTACTCTTTCTGGTTTATTCATAAATTATACTTAATAATTGTTGAATATATTGGAATATACATGCAAATTGAGAAACTGTTCTGTTCACGTTTGTTTTTTTTTCCGTTTAGTTTTAAGGCTAGGGCTAGTTAATTGCCAATGAAAGATCCTTCAAATATACTACTACTCACTGTATACTTTGTAAATCCTTCCCTAAGTTGACTTTTTGTTTAAATCAATTTGTTTGGATTTTTTCTTTACAGAATTTGAAACTTTGACAATAATAATAATGTAAACATAGATCGGTAAGTAAAATCTAGTTATATGTAAATGTAAATAACTCTTTAATATACACTGAACGCAACCAGTAAATGTTTTTTAGTCGATACTGCTCGACTAGGAGATACCCCGGACCTTGCAAAAAGCTACTATTTTAATCATTATATACTTTTATACATACATTATCTTACACACACATAGTTACGCATGAACAAGCGCGGTCTGCCTATTGCTCAGTTTTCGCAGTGGCTACGCTTGGACTATTATACTATGGGTTATTATACTATTCGAATTTTGTTTCTACCTAGACTTTCTTAATCAGATATGTAGAGCGTTTATTGACATTAATATGTATAAAAACGTTGTTTGTGAATTTGTGCGAAATGAGGAGGTATCAAAAATCCGAAATATATGCAATCTCATTATTAAATTCATGAGTCCCCACAGTAAATTGGATATTTCTTTTTTTTCTGGTATTGAATTTAAGATTAAAGAACGAAGCCAAATTATCGATATTGATCGATAGTAAAAAAATATGTGAGTTATCGATATACATGTAAAAAAATATACATTTCCGAAATATACGACCAACTTCATATGACTCATTAGCGATTTGGCCACAGGTAGTGCGGACGAATATTCTCTTTTCACCACGTGAACGAGTATAACAATCATAAAAGTAAGCAACCAAAGCGACTCATTCGAGATGCGCATATGTTCAGCAGATGCGGTAACTTATATATGTATATATATATGCGCTTCGCTGGCATTCATAAAACCAATAATAATCTCAGCAACGAAGAACAGGCAACAAACAGTAAAGGCAACGACTACATAATACTCTCTAAAAAAACGCGTACAGTTTTTCGGTTTTTCATTGTCACATATATTATCAAATACTTTATTAAATAAAGGTTGCGATGAAAAAAAGTTCTAATATTTGAATCACTTCTATCATACGTACTGACAAACATTGAAGAAAGCTAATATACTCATTTCACTTGACGACTGAGAATAATAACATAAACATTTAAAATAAACAATAAAAAAAAACAGCATAAAATGTTCATTGTTTGGGATCATGATTTTTTGTTAAAGTCCGGGCCCGGGTCCTAGATTGGATATAAGGGCGCGTTCAGGCGTTTGACTGATTGCAGACTATTTGCTTGATCGTCAATTCCGGCTGGGCCAAGAACTGAGCCATTTGTGCATTAGCGTCAAGGCAATTTGATGCTCATTATCGTTGTAAAATATAAAATTAAATGTTCCGACATTCTATTACAAATAAAGAATAAGAAAGCTGCAGTGGAGCTTTACCGATCTGGACATCTAAACCCGGGAGATATGGTAATTTCCAATATACCACGCCCCCAAGAGGCGCTAAATAATTGTTGAAACATCAGTCAATTAAAAATGTTAACAGCAACTTAATCGTCAAATATTGAATTGTAATTATAAAACTTAAGAATATACAGTTTTTCTTTATTTTCCAATTCTTAGAGGAAGTGTCCGAGCTGTCGAAAATATAATTCTTGTTCGATACTGTTGATTAAGAGAGTCCATCCATACTTCAGCACAAGCATAGTCAATGGGTAAACTGCATAGTAAGCAGAGCGTCTGCTTATGCATGCGTGCGCATGTGGTTCAGTATATCTCCTTGGTTCAGGATATCTCCTTGTCGAGTAAAGCAAGTAATAATGGTGCAGTAGGCTGCTACTCATTCACGGTTTAAACGCTGCCAAATCAATAACTTTGGTAGATTGTTTTTTCCAATTTGTCACTCACGATTGATAAGGTCTTATGCGTATATTGTACATTATGACTTAACACTTCGAAAATAATCATGAAACTAAACGCAAACAATGATAAAACAATAAAATTCGGAATGTATAGCGACATTGCGAATAGTAATAGGATTCGCATGCATATTAAAATTTAGAATAAATTTTAAAATCCTACGAATTAATGAGGGGAGGAACATTTTAAGGGAACACCTGTTTTAACAAATTATTGAGATTTTCGACTTAAAAAATTAACGCGAATCGAATTCTATTGCACACATAACAACATAAATTCTTATGCATTGGTGGGATTTGATACATATATGTATATATATAGAATTTGCTGAGCGTACATGTATGTATATTAAAACATGAACAGCTGTAGCTTAGTGCGGCGCCTCGTAAAATGCTTTGATGTCATTTGCAGTTCTTTGCCAGCTGGTAATTCTGCTAATTAACTAAAGAAAAGCACAATTGCTGGGCATTTACTAGAAACTAGCATGAATTTTGCTGCCAGATGCCAGGCAGACTACTGTTTTTATACGCGGAAATGAAAAATTAGGGTACAATGATTTTGTAAAAATGTATGTAACAAGCAGAAGGCGGCGTGGCAGGCCCCACACTATACCAGGACGACGAGCTTAGTCAGTCGGTTCATATGTATAAACGCATTGATCTCAGAACGGGTAGGAGTTGAAGATTTTTTCCGATCCGCCTATAGAAGACACATAGTTTTAGTTTGTTTAAAAAAATCGATAACTATTTCTGTTTTATTGTTATCTATTCAATTTTTTACCAAAATTCAATTATTAAATTATATCTCGTATTTCTTTGCATGTGTTATCATGTAAATTTTACACTAATTTTTTATTTAGCTGGCGAGGAGATTTTTCTTCCATTACTGGTGTGCTAATGTAAATGTTTTTCCATTAATTTTAATTGTTTATTCGACACTAATGCTATTTGATTAGGAATGTGCGAGTTCGAACATTTTTAGAATCCTAATCTAGATACAAGCTATGGAGTATATTTCATAACGCAGCTTGGACGGGATTCAGGGTATCTTGTAGTCGGGCATTTCTAACTAAATCTTTTTTCTTCAATTTGTTATCCGTTGGTTCAATGCCTGTCGGTAGCACTAGGGAATATCATGATGAAATTTGTAGCTAATTGTCGGCCAGCTAATTTTCAGTTGCAAGTCCGGGAGCGAAGATGTTTCTCTTTCTTACATGAATGTGTCTAATGTCGTCGAGACCGATTTTGCTTTGCAATTTACTCCAAGAGCTTTGGGCTTTGACGGTGTTTTCTGCCAGTTGCTTAGTTGCAATTTTATATAATCAACATTTTATGCGTTTGATTAATAATTATCTGTAATACTAATGTGTTAGACCCACCTACCATTTAGTCTCACTACCCCACACGCTTCTTTGGAAAGTTACTGCGTGTCTTATGTAAATTTCGGTTAAATGTAAATTATTGCAATTTGGTGAGCTGTTAGTTCGACGACTTGATTAATGGGTCAATTAATTTTAAGTAATTGTATTATCTTCAAGTTAGTAGTTATCTATTAAAACTCTTATAGCTTAACAACGCTTTCCGCATAACTATTATACCCTGAATCCATTCATAATGAGAATTCAGACTATTTATGTAACGAGCCGAGTCGATGTACATATATTCGTCTATCTGTCCGTACGAACGCAACGCTCTCTGAAGCCACAAAGCTAGAGACTTGAAATTTTAAATGTATATTCGTGTTTATAACTTTTTTTTATAACTCAACCTATTGCCGGATATTCGATTCGATAATTTGGCGTCACAAGATGGGTTACCTGTAATGAATATACAGGTTTGATATATTATGAAATTTTGATTTTGACTTAAAAATACATACATTTAATGTCATTATCATGATCTAATTGATTAACAAAGTCATCTAGAACAAAACTTATTAACAATTAAGTTCCCAATGTATATCCTATACTGCAGCCCAAGTGCAGTAAACAGTGTGTATAAATATGTTGCTTGTAATGTATTTTGTAATAAAAGAAGCGAATACTGATTGGACTATCATCTCTTCGCAGGGTTCAAGGTAGCAACTAGTCATGTAGTCTCCGACGAGAGCCCTATAACTTGTTACAATTTGAAAGCTGAGCTGTTATTTTTGTTCGGCTATCGCAACATTTACAGCTGCGTTTTATATGCAAATAAGCATTTCCCCAGAAATGATGATACACTCAAGAGAACATATTTATGTTCATTAGCTGCCAATGTTGATTAGTATCCTCGGAGGCTTTGCTTTGCTGACTTCACTCTTATAGCTCCGACTGTGTCATGTTGTCATCTTCTGTTTAAACAGTTGAAAAAGCATATACGCTCAGACCAGTTGACATTACCATTCGATTCACTGGCCGTAACTCTTAAACAAATAATGAGCATTTTGATCATCAGCATTCACATTATCATTATCATTATCATTATTATCTTGCCCAGCGTACCAATGGCAGTAAAACGCGCTTCTCTTGGAATGTTATGCTAACTAAGCAACTTTAAGAGTCCAGTAAAGGGCATAGCTAAGCAGATCAGACAAAACTTATCAAAGTATTCAAGATCTACCACAAAAGTTCAATATTAAATTCCAAAAATAGGTTTCGTAGAAATTGAATTTCACTCCGATGTGTTTGTGTAAGAATTTTAATTCATCCAATATTTCACATATTTAACATATTTATCTAAAAAACAAGATATAGAATATAGAATAATAAAAATAAAATTGATTAATATATTGGCAATATTTTCAAAGATCATTATATGTACTCAAACTTCCCGTTCTCAATGAGTTTAGGGTATAGTCAGAATCTTTCAGTCATAATACTACCAACCATAAATGGGACATCTTCTATCTTTTTCATTGCATAAAATTTGATTGCTTTCAACTTCGTATTTGCTCGGATCCCTTACTTTTCAAGAAAAACATGGGGCTTCAACATCAGTGCGTTCCGAGCCCTGAGCTGAAATGCTTGGTCTTTGCACAAAGTCCCGCTATACACCGTTATGTTTATTTACTTTCCTCTATGCTATTTTAAATATGTATGTTTGTATGCACAACTAGCAGCGCACGAAACTTAAAATTTGTTCAACTATGGTCCCATTTTAAACTTCTGAGAGAAAAGTTTAAAAAGTCATGAAAAGGCTGGCTATGCAACATTTTAGCATTTTTATTATCAGCTGTTGGAAGGGTTTAAAAGCAAAGCTGCGCGTTAAAAAGACTTTTTCGCTACTAGCGGGCACACACTAACAGTTCCTTTTTCACATATATAATAATTGATGGGCATGTGCAAACCTCTAGTTGTCTATTGAAATTAAGAAAACTTACAATTTGAAGTTTTTCAGTCTTCTGAGCTTCTAAGTCGACTTCACACATACATCTGTATGTAATTACGAAAATACTTATAAATTATACTTACATATGTATTTATATAAATGTATATACAAATATAAAACGTCAAAAATATTAAATATTACTCATTCAGTCTTTTCGATTTCCCACGTGCGCAGTGGGTGTGGATTCATAATTTGACCTTATGATATATAATCTATATTTTTCACATCAATTGATTTATTATGTGAGCATTTCTTTCGTAAATGAGTATAAAAACCAGATCACACGATATTGAAAAAAAAAAAACAAAATACCAAATATAATGCGTCTGTTTATTCATTACAGTAACTACACAGTAAATTGAAATTTTCCATCTATTATGGTATAAGAATTACGTTTAAACAACGAGATCAAGTAATTGATTGATACACTAATAGGCAAATTGGATGAGTTATCAAAAGGCAAGAGTGTTGCAGTCATGCGCTACTGACTGTAGAATACTCATTCTCCGTCAAATGGTGTCAGACATAACGAAAATACCCTGTATTGATGTATCAACAATTATATATTCCCTCTTAAGGGCTTTTCAAATCGGAAAAGAACATATCTTTCAAAGTGGCTTTTACTTTTTTATACCCTGATCCCATTGAAAATGGGAAATCAGGGTATTATGGTTTTGTGCAGGCAGAAGGAGGCGTGGCAGACCTCATAAAGTATATATATTCTTATTCAGAACGACAGTTCGAGTCGATTGAGCCCTGTTCGTTTGTCCGTCCGTGTGCCCATATGTGTGAACGCGTCGATCTCAGCATCTATGAGTTAGAGCACAAATCAAGTTTGTTTCATATATTCGATAGCTATTCCCATTTAATTGTTATCGAATAAAAACATGATCGAAATGCAATAAAGTATATCTCATACGTCTTAAGAGCTAGAGCCTCCAAATTTTGTATTTAGTTTTGTGTATATTTTATGCAGTTTTGATATTTGATGGATTTTGGATACTCCAAATTTCCCTAAATTCTTAAAATTTAAGTTTGGTGAAAAATAGGCCAATTATGTGAATGCGTTTGCATCTCTACTAAGGCAATAAAATTTGTAGATTATATGCTGAAAATTTAATCAAAATCCATTAAGTAAAACAGAAGTTATTAAACAAAACGTTTGACAATTTGCAAAAGCACATGCCAGCAGCGCCACGCGCATTCATTTTTCCTATACGTGTGCACACATACATTCAAATGCGTGTATTCATCTTTATTCGAAATATAATATAATCGAAATTGCGATTGAATACTGCTTGAATTATCAGATGATACTTAAATCCAAATTGGCAACTCTTCTTGCAAGCAGTGCGTTGGTAGTGGAGACGCTGGTAAGCAGACATTCAATGGGTTTGAGTCCGGTGGATGATGGAATATTATTTTTTGTTTTATTATTTTTTTAATTATGAAGTGGCGGTGTTGGTGGAGTTGATACGAGTTGCGTAGAAATTGTGGGTTCGAATCTTGGTATCGTTATGTCGATTTTTATGTTTTTTTTTTTTAATATTCTATATAAACTACGGAAAATATTAAAAAACGCGGATAGGACTGGGATCAGGGTACCTCCTAATCGGGCACCCCGACTAGAGCTTTCTTTCTTACTTTCTACATATTTTTGATTGAATGCTTGATGGATGCTGCTTACGTTCTATTTGGACCCGTAGTAGCTCTTATATCACTTGGCGCCCACATTGCTTGGCAGCTATTATAATGCCGTTTCCGACTTTTACGCAAAATTAATAAGCAGTTAAATTGAGATTTTGTTTGTATTTTTTGCAGCTAATGAAATCTGACACGTTTGGTATACAACTATATGGCCCAACTTGATGCGTGATAGCATCAAATTAGAGAACTGATTTTTTTATTCATATCGATTAAAATGATGATGGCTAATATGCAATTGACGTTGAAGATGTTGTCGACAATATTATTGACCGATTGACCTGCACAAAAGAAGTAATAACGAGCTGACATGTGAGAAATGAGATATCGATTTTAACTTAGAAGAACCCACAGTTAAACAATATACAAGACATATAAATATTGAGTGGGTAAGGCAGAGAAAAGAAGACACGCCGATAGTGAGACAACGAGAGAGAATAAGCACATCACACACTCTAAGCTAATATCCAGATACAAAGCGGAGACTAGCATAAACAGCACCATGGAGTCCGAGTCCATGGAGCAGGATATTATGCTTGACGGCAACGAAGATCAGATGTCTACATCAAATACATCCACAAATAGTGGTACTTGCGAAGCAAACGGATGTGGAAAAAAATCGGTGAGTAATCATAATCTAAAAATTATTATCTCATTATTATCTGAAGTAACTAAAGTAAACTGTTTTAAATGGAAGCAGATGAATAGAAGAAGGTGTATTAAACTACACTTTCCATTAAAAATGTTATTAAGAGATAAAAAATTGCCTTTTATAAAAGCTTGAAGAATCAATTAGTTATTTGAATATATAAAAGAGTAAAAGTGTCGACTAGGGCTCGGAAGGCTCGGAGGCGTCAAAGACCCCATAAGAAAATCAGGATCAAAACGGCGAGCTAAGTCGATCGAGCATGTCCGTCCGACCGTCCTTTTGTCTGAGTGTCTATCCATCCGTCCGTATGAGCGCAGCGATCTCGTAACCCACAGAAGCTAGAGTCATGAAATTTGAAATGTATAGTCAAGTGTACCATACGCAGTACAAGTTTATCTTTTATTTTCGATAACTGCGACTATTCGTAATTATTGAATAAAATCGATCAAAAAGCTTCGTTGTTAAGCGTAGCTTGAATACCGTAAATATTGGAGCCTTAAGATTTACTGTATAATATTGAATACAGAGATTTTGTATATTTTGGATTTTAGATACCTCTCCCCTTGCCCTCAAATTCACAAAAAACAGATTTCAAATACTAGAGACTAGGGAATGTTTTAAAAACGTGTTCTCAAGTTGAGACTGCTCTATTAAACATATTACTTACGATAGTAAGGAAATATGATGAGCTTAAAACTCTAATTTTAATGGCTTTCGACAGTATGGACAGGCAGTTAAGAATATACATACTTCATAGGGTCCGCCTACGCTTGGCGCCCCATGCTGCCGATTAGCCAAACGTTTTGTGTAATAACTTCTGGGTCACTTTACGGATTTTAATTAGATACAGCATTTGATATATGTACTTATTTGCTCGAATATTGGTTGGTTGTTAGAAACAAACTTGATTTGCACGTTTTTTATAGGAACCTCAAAGAAATGTTGTCATTGCCGGTATAGGTTCTGACATCGACGCTCATCAATTCACAGAATGAGCTCACTGACGAGCTTTTTGGGGTCTGTCACGCTTACTTCTGCCTGTTACATACATTTTAACAAAACGATTATCTCCTTATTATCTATTTTCCAACGACTTCAGCTAGCTTAATTTAATTATAAACTTAAAAAGTGTGGAAGTTGTTTTTGCAAAAGTATCAATTGGTTTCGCTTGATAAGCATTCAATCGGTTGTACACTTCTTCAGTCTTTCATTCAGTTTAGCCTTTTATAGATGAATGCATTTTGATAGTTTGACTTTTTGAATTCAGCTTTCAACCAAAACTGTCAACTGTCGATAACACCTAAGAGGTTTCTGCGGTCAGCTTACGTATATTTCAAGTACTTTAAACCACCTGACCCGACCCGCGTATAGCCAACAATGCATAAATTATATATTGCCTCTTTGGCACTTCCGTCAACAAAAGCAGGGCAATAACTCTGGGTATAACAGAAGACGATGCCACAGAAAGAGAGATTACAGCAAGACTCATCGAAAGAGGGGCCAATGACATATAGCCAGAGCCGGTTACTATGCACCGTTCTATGAAAAATCGTTCAAGTCATATGCAAATTATTTTTGTCTCTGAGTCTTTTGTTTAATTCGGCAGCTTCTATCAAATTTTAGATTGTTTATTACCTGTTAGATTATTTACTAGACAAACGGAATATTTTACATATAAATAGTTATATACATTATTTTATGTGACAATGGTTGTAAAGTTGTACACTAAGAGAAACTCAAATGCAAATAAAGCAAGTGCATATTTGCTTCGCTCTTTTATTTTCACACTTAATAAAATATAATTATATCTCGATTTGACACGCTCCTTAGTAGTGTGGATATATAATTTTGGAGTTGTAGAACTAAAACTCCTGGTTTGCGCCGTCTCCAACCGGGACTTTGGCCAACATGAAGGTATGTTGTCAAATTTCAACTCTATAGCTTCGCCACGCCTCTAGTCAGCATGCAGGGAAAATCTTAAAATATTATCAGACGAGTGCACATCTGTGGGTATATTCCAACTTCTGAATCTCCGTGAATTCCCATGCCCTCAACTAGCATATAGAGGAGGATGGACAGCAAGACGAAAAGCGTCAAGGTTGGAGATAAAGAGGCCCGAATGAGAAGAACGTAAATACCAAGCTTGTGCTTGAATAAAATACTTATTCTTTGAAAAATATACCTATATTTTCTAAGCTTTAAAAATTTTATTGGGAAAGTACATCTACATCAAAAGTTAACTGCCCATTTAAAGGTGTACAAATTGAGCACTAAGCGGACTCCACGCTTTAATGTGCATGTGCTGTTTATATATGATAGACAATAACCGTAAAATGGTTAAAATACCACCTCTACGCAACATTTTGCATATCTCACGATAATATTTTGAATATTATAAATCAATGGAAGTTTTGTTCATATTTTATTTTCTCTCACTTTATATATTTAAGTCGTGCCAATAAATTATTGCTAGAGACTCGTCATTAAATGAAATTAAAATCCACTAAACGTGGTTAAATTTCCAGTGAACAAATGAAATGAAACTTCAGACTCTGATTGCGAGTAATAATATTGGCAATTCACTCGGGATCAGGGGCCAGTTGAACTAGCAGCACAAATGAATTATGATATACTGCACTTATTGCATTATTATTATAATTATATAAATTATTATGATTAATTGCAGTCCATAACATCGCCCGATCCGACATTGTATGTGACAAAGGCGCGTGTTACGCGTCCTACGCCTCCGCCACCATCCAAGAATCCAATGCAATTTGTTCAAATCAAGCCATGCAATTTATATCAGACGGCACAGGAGCAGCTTAAAAAGGCCGAGGAGGTCAAAAAGCTGAAGGAGGTGAAAAAAGAAGAGCCCGAGGAATGGCAGAATGTAAGTAACATAGGTTTAGAGATATTATATATTTATTTCAATTAATTATATTATATATTTATTTTTATAATAATTATAAATAATTAAATACATATTTAAAAAAATTTGAAGTTTCAAAAATTTGCATTTAGTTTAGTGTAGGCATAAATAATTTATAAATTTTTGATATATTTTAGATTTTATACCCACTAAATATTCCAGAAAATCAGAAAGAAACTATTGACGATTTGCACTATTGCAAATATCCTGTAATTTACACAGTTCTGAGCCTACGTTACTGCTTCTAAGGATTGACTAAATCCGACTGCAGCATTCTTACTAGTTTTTATTTGGCTATTTTGGATTCATTGCAGCATATGTCTTAAGATAAACAACGCATACTATGTTAGGCAGGGCACTTTGCACGTTATGGCCATATCTGTAATACCAACTAGCAATAACTATGGCTGTAAGACTGAGGTAATATGTCTTAGTGAGTAGAGCCTGCTCCACTTTCCAAATCACGTCGCTGGCATGGACAAACGATATTGCGTAATCAACTGTTACTTGATGGTTTTCTTGTTTACTTTCTGTTGCGCTTATACGTTTTTGTTTTACACAATTTGCGGTACATGCAAATTTGTATGCCATAACCTGAAACGAATTGTCGCCCTTTGACGTGTATCTCATTGTGTAATCAACTAAAGTAGCGTTTGAATTTGAGCTGAGATAATGCTGTTTTTTATTTATTTTGGTGAACGCTTCCATTAATTTGTCACTTAAGTTAACTAATTTACTCATTTTTTACATTTATGTGAAAAATCGATTCAAATGCACATGGTGTACTACCCAAACTCGGTCGGGGTCTGAGACTGTTGCCAATTTATGGGAAAGGAAGTTGAGCAATTCCGTTATTGCTTTTTGGAGTTTGCTTCTTTTGAACATAAAAGTTTTAAATCTCGCTTAAGTGTGGGTACCGAAAAAAAAAACATAATTGTATTTGACTTTAGCAACAAACTTAGGAATTCCGAGTGTAGTTTAAGTATTAAAAAATGTTTTTAAAATACTTCGGTGGTAACAGGTCATGATTTTAAGTATCTATTGATGTGGTAAAAAAAAACAAAATTATTGTATATCTGCTGTAGGTCAATAGCTAATTATTGTTAATATATTAATTAATATATTCAACGGAAACATAGACGGAAGCACAAATATTATTGACAAAACGAGATCTATGTCAATCTCTTAAGTTCAAAGAGCGTGGAAACTTTTGAGATTGGTGCAACTGTGGACGATATAGTTTACGCAGTTTGCCAAGCTTCATGAGCCGTTTACCAAATATATATATCTAATTCAAAAACTATAGATATTTACAATATTGCTTAACATATGCTCAATATCCAATAAAAATATCCAAAATCTTTATTAAAGATTATGTGTTACAAATCTCGTGCTTCAATATCGGCAAAAAGGTTTTAATTCATACAGACGGATGAATAGCACGATGGGTAGCGGGGCGGTCATTGTAGAAAAGCTATATGCTCTTTTCACTTATTAAACGAATCATAAAAATTTTTAATCTGAAATACGTTCCACCTTTGACGCAAGCCAAGATAAAGTTTTTGTTAAAGAGCAAAGGGCGTCATGTGTGTGAATCTTAGCTTTTAAGTGCCATATATATAGTATATTGTATATTATATTATTATATATGTGTTGGTATTGTATGCTAACTTTCTCTATTCTTCTATTTGAAAATCAACAACAATAAAGAACCTTGATAATTGGAAATCATCACGGCGAAAACGTGTCGAACATATCATAGATCGTGTGGTGGAAACAAAGAAGCTCGAACTGGAGGAACATGATCGTACTAGACGAAAATCAAAAACATTTACTGAAATGATGGAGGAGCGGTAAGTAGTAGTAGTACTACTTAGTAGTATATAATAAATTTCAATTCAATGTATATTGCAGAGCTGAGCGCAGCGGCTCGCGTGGACGTGTCAAATTGGCATCCCTTGCCGTTTATAACGAGGACGAGACGAATGATTTAAGTGATTTGGGTATCGGTACTAGCAGCGCTAGCGGTAAAAGCAGCTTGTCGGAGGATTATGATAACAACAGCGTTATGGTAAGCACGGAATACTTCTATATATTTATGTATAATATATGTACTCGTCATTTTTTGCACTTGATATATTTTAAATAAATAATTCAATAAAAAAGGTCAGCCAACAATAGAAAATTAACTAGAATACTAAATATAAACAATTAAGAGAACTCTAGTCAAGATTGCTCAATAGGAATACCCTGAATCTGATACTCCAGTTATTCTTTTATACCTGCAGACGCACATACGAACGTAACTATAAGCAGGTCCTCTTTTTACTGTGTCCAATTTGTGTTTTTGACAAACTTCAAGTCCTTAGTTTTTTAATTTGTGCGGAAGATGAGAGTTATCCCAAAACTGGAGACAAATTGGAGACTTTCATCTTTTATAGTATTCAATCTATGCTTAAAAACGAAATCAAATTATAGCTTTTTGTCGATAATAGGAGTATCGAATGAGTTATAAAAAAAAGTAAGAATGTTACCGACGGCACTTCCGACTGCATTATTCTATAATCCAATTTTAAAGTTTCTACCTGTAAAACTGTAGAAACTAAAGATTTTTGTTTACGTGTTTATACCCTGATACATTAAATGGGAAACCAGTGTACAATGGATTTATTCTTGATCAGGACGACAATCCGACTCGACTGAGCCCTGTCTGTCAGTCCGCATGTATGAACCATATATAAGAGCTAGAGACTTGAAAATTTTTTTTGGAGGTCCGTGTATAGCTCGCGCCTATCAAACTTTTTTTGAAATATTCGATAGCTATTCCCATTAAAAAACTAATCGAAATGAGTTATTCATTTTGTATTTAGTTTTATGTATTTTACCTATAGTTTTATTTTTTTTATATTTTGGATACCGGCTCCAAATTTCACCAAAAATTCTTAAAAATTAAGTTCAGCTGGAAATAGGGTCAATAGGGGAAGGAGTTTGCATGTCTACTAATCCAATAGAATATGTAGATCATATGCTGAATTTCATAAAAATCCATTTAGTAAAACAGAAGTTATTAAACAAAACGTTTGGCCAATTTGCAAAAGTACTTGTCAAGCAGAGCGGCAGGCGGCGTTTGTTATTCATAAGTTCTATATTCGACACAAGACGGCGAAGGGACTTTTTTTGTTATTTTTTTTATATTAAATTATTTATTGTTGGTAGAGTTGATGCGCGTTACGTAGGCAATGTTGGTTCGAATCTTAGTGTCCTAATGTCGGTTTTTATGTGATTTTTGAATACTCAATACAGCCTATTGAACTATTGACAATCTTCTAGTCGGGCACCCCAACTAGAGCTTTCCATATATATATAATTTAAAGTATCTAGATTTAATAAAGAAATAAAGAGCGTGGACATATATTCGCCGATCTGTAGAGGATCTTAACAGTAACCCACGAGGCAAACTTTGGGACTTAAGTTTAAACACTAATGGGATGAAAATATATTCACTATATATGTTTGTTCTTGAGTCCCCAACGCGAGTTAATGTTCCAACATTCTAGTATCTATAATTTAAATAAAGATTATTGGTTATAATAATAAGAATGTTTAGAATTTCCAGTACTTCAAATTTCCAGTCTCTAGTTTCAATAGCTGCACAATAGTTTGCGGTTATACGGATAGAAAGTCGGTCAGTCTAGGCTAGAGCAATTGTTTATAAATGTGAATACCAATACTTATCTAATACATTCTCTTCTGTATTTAACAGAGTGACAACGCAGAATTGGACAAAGCCATTGGCGCAGCAGCAGCTATAAACATTAAGGAGCAACAGAATCACATCAACAGAAATCGAATTGATAATAACAAACTTTGTAACCAGGCAAGCACATCGAATACCAGCAAACTGCAGACAGTCAGCGAAGCAACAGCAGTAGCACCAGCTACACGGGAATTTATCATGTCGCCTGGCTACGATACCTCGTCAAGTACAGCGCTGGCCAGTACACCTGATCCTTGTGAGTACACCTATGAAGGGGCCATACAGGATTACAAGCAACGCGTACAGCGGGCCAGCAGCAATGGAAGAATCTGCAACAACAATGGATCTGGCGATGGTGAAACCATTGGTTATCCCACACGACGTGGCAGCAAGATCGAGGATCGGTTAAGTGGTTTCGAAGTAACATCTCCCAGTGACACACAGGAGGGTGTCGAGAAGCAAAAAGTGGATGTACCTAAGGTAGACATATCAAAACGCAAAGAGATCTTTGAGCAGCGCGAATCTGAACCAAAGCCCATGATACCCAATGGCGGATCAACCAAGCCAAAGCTAATGATGCGTGAGCGTTTGAAAAATAGTAATGACGCTGCTCCCGAACCCACGGCCAAGCAGGAGATTAAGCGTCTGTCCGGCGACATATGCAGCATACGTGATCGCATGCAGAGTCTAGAACAGCAGCGTAATGAGTTCAACTCCAGTAAGAGCGTGGATGTTTCAGTGCTTCCGTTGAAACAGCGCCTTAACAGTCTGCAACAGCATGCCGTTACCAAAGAGGAGGATCAACAGCAGCAAAAGAAACCACCGCTCGTAGCGCTTATCGATGCCAGGCAGCTGGAAATAATGCGTGGCGAGGAGCTACGCATGCGACAACAACAGCAAAAGGAACAACAGCAGAAGTCGATAACGCAGCCAGCGCTGATTGTAGAAGATGCAGCACACGATGATAGCGGCATTCAGGCGGACAATAACGAGGAAATACTTAAGGAGCAGCAGCAACAGCACCAACTAAACGAAGCAATCGCCGCACTTGCACTCGAGGAGCGTCAGCTCGAGGAGGCAGCCAATGCAGTCAATCAAATTGAAGCTGAGTTTGATGAGCTCACTGATTTGCAGCCAGCAGCGTTGCCCCCTACCAATGTAACAGCAGCAACCATATCAGCATCATCAGCAACAGCAACATCCATAACAACAACAACAGCCACTCAACCAGCGGCTCGGGATATGGAATTTAGTGTAAGTTCTACTAACCAATTTATTGAAAAAGCTATATTAAGTCCACGTAGTGGTGTCCGAGTTGATGATTATAATTATGATAATGATAATGTTGTAGTAGCTTCAGCTTTTAATACGGTGTCGGTACAACCCAAATACAATACCCAAACCAATCCCTCTCTCCGTCACCCAAACAATTGTAACTTGCGTAGAATGCCCTCAAATGAAATGGTACATGCTCGCAATTTGTTGAAAATGTTTAAGGACACCTTTCAGAATGAGTACGAACTGAACGAGGAGGCCAATGAGCAACAACCTTTAGCACAGTCTCAACCTGGGCAGCTTAGCCAAATTTTTGACTTTACCAAGACAAAAACTCCGATACCAGCACCAGAACCGACCTGTTTAGCGCAACCAACTGCTGCACCTCAAACCGAGCCGCTTCCGAATCCCTTAGGTACAGTCGCACAGCAGAATACACAAATACCACGTCCACTAGGCAAGCCTCCAATGTCGCCCAATGCAGTGCGTGTTAAGCCCACAACCGCCACACCTCAACAATTCAGCATCAATGGACGTGTTGAGATATTTAATTCACGTCAGTTGGAAAAACCACAAACGCCTCCGGTTAAACGCGCTCTGAAAGAAGAACGAACATCCGCAAAGGTGGGGATGTTTGCACCATCCATTACCACAGTTTCGACCGAGGAACTACGTAAGCCGAACACAATAAAACCTTTATCCAGTTGTTCTGGCCAGGCTACAAAATCGTTGGACAATTTATCTGACAATCATACACCGATTTCTAATCCAGCATATGTGTTTACAACGTGCACATCGCCAACTCCCAGCACAAATGTGAATGTCAATTTGATATCAACTCCATTACCGAAGACTACGTCACGCAGTCGCATACCACAAATAACGCCACCAGTTTCACCCAAGCCAAATCGCAAAACTGTACCCACGGATGTGGTGGATCATGCTTTAGATCACACTTCAGGAGATTATGCGCCCATCGTGGGTCAGACAAAAGCTGTGGTGCACACACCGCCTGTAGCCAAGGTGCGCGTAAAGCCACCCGCCAAGCCGCTCAATCTGGACCCTCTGGCGCCAAATGATTCGTTGGAAGTGCATGTGACTTCGCCTTCTCCAATGCCCGCCCTGCGTGTGTGTACACCCAACGAGTCCAGCCTGTTCAAGCTGGCCAATTCAGCGCCCACATCACCAGGATCGACGGGCACACTACCCGTAGATATTGCACTGTGCCAGCAATTTATGGAAAGTGAGGGAATCAAACAGCGCCTGGAACTAACGCCTGAAGATATTAAACGTTTGGATCAGCAAGCCGTAAAGGAGTCTACCTGTAAAAAAATAGATGTGACCAAGACACCCAAGTTACCCAGCACTGGCTGCCAAATAGTAACCGAGCAGCAGCTGCAGAGCTGTGATGGCATAATCAAGAAGGAGTTGGCTGACACAACAGTACCCAAAGAGGAGGATATTGCCCTATGTGTGAGTCTTCTTGACTGTCTTGCACCCGCCGAAGAGCCCAGTTGTATAGCCATCGATGTGCGAGAACAGCCGATACCGGCTACAGGCTACCAGCACATAAGTGATGAGGATGTGAAGCACTGTGATGGCTTGCAGGGCATGAAGGAGCTAAAGAAGGACAACAACACCAACAATGTGAAAGCGAGCTTCCCCATTAGCAATGCACGTGCCGCTCACTCAAGGGCGCTGCTGGACACTTGCGAGCAGATTATTGCTGAGGAGCGCTTAGCCAGCAACAGAATGATGAAATCATCGTTACCCGTGATGAATAGTGGTCATAAAACGCCCACAGGCTCAACGCCTGGCACACCAACAGTGAGTCGCAAATCGAAGATACCTATACCCAAGCCCTGCTGTATATCGGCTTCCAACACGGACTCCATTGGTAGAACGGGCTATCTTCCAGCAAACGCAGAGCAATCGGTCGATGCAAGCACTCCTATCGTAGATACAGCAGCTAATATCAAGCAGCTTACACCGCCCAGCTCGCCCAAAACACCAAAGGATGTTCATGAAAAGGAGAAGGGCAAGGATAAGAAGAATAAGAGCAATATATTCGATTTTTTGCGTCGGAATTTTGGTCATCACGAGGAGTCGACAACGCCCCAGCCTTACCCCACACTCAATGAAACACTTGAGCCTAAAGTGGTCCTTACCAGCACCCGCAGTGGTGTCGATGTTGTCAGTGCCGATGACTTTGTCAAGGTGGATAACTCCAAATTCTATTTTGCTAACGATACGGTCTCTGCCGCACCTCCACCGTTACCGAAAACTGCAGCTCCAGTGAACATTGACATACAAAAATCCATAACCACAGATGAAATACTCGTAGATCAGAACACGGAGCAAGCATTGAGTCAAGAAATTAGCAACCTACTCGACGATGAGCTCAACAAGCTGGGGCCGACAGTGTGATCGGTGGTTGGTGCTGGCCACTAAATAAGGGGAAATATTATGGGTACTATCTGTCTAGCTATCTATCTGTTTGTTTGTGAGCTTTCTTAAAAAATATACTTTATACAACAAATTAATTTATTTATGACATTTTTGTTGACATTATTTTTAAAAAGTTCAGGCGAATAAAATACTTCTGCTGCTAGTTTTGCGAAATTGTCCGATTTGTATATTTAATCTAAATCTAATCGAAATATTATCAAAACTTGAATTTATTTCTGAATAATTTATGTTTTTTTTTATTATAAATTTTATTCTTGTGGGGCTCAACCTACGTAAGCTTGGATTTCTTTATTATTTTTCTGTTTTAATTACTAAATACAATGTTTTGTATAAAAATAATTTCATTTATGTAAAGAAAAATGTGAAATTTTATATATATCTAATATACTTAGCGTGATTAAAAATCTTCTAATACACAAAACAAAAATTACATAAACCATGGATAATAATAAACTACAAAAGCTCGAAAACATAAAAACATCATGTTGTGCTGTTTTATCAATAAACGAAAACGAAAACGAAAACGAAATACCTGTCTTCGTGGTTATCGAAAACAACGTCATGCTAATATTTTGTATATGTTCAGTGTGCACTGCTTTTTATATTCTGGCACAATTAAACTGCAAGCAGTGCAGACACATATTTCACTTGCGACAAGCAGTGTATTATTTCCATAGGCGGGAGTTTCGAATAAGATGAGGGTAACATACCCCTTGAATAAATTTCAATAAATATAAATGTACCTTAACAACTAAAAAATAAATAGAGTTTTAAATGTGGCGTGATGAGTCGAAGGCTTTCTCTAGTATACATACACGTTTCCAATGCGCCCTGGTCATAAATATGTTCTATCTTATCCTATCCAGATGATTTAGCGTAAGTAAGCCCCAATGGTTAAAGGTTTTTAACACTTAAGGTTATTGTATGTGTCTGTTATCTTTATATACATATATTAATATTGTGATATAAACAGAATCTGTACGCATTTCTTTTACATGCCTTGCGCTCGTACTGTTGGCTAAACTGTACAAATTTTCAAATATAAATATTATATATTATATGCTACAGTTACATAGTTTACATGCTTACTGCCAGCAAAAGTTGTTGCAAGTTTACAATTTTCGAGGTAAGCGGTTGTGTCTCTTTTACCTAATTCTCTCTCGTTCACTTTTTGTGTCATTTCCATTTATCCTCGTCTCATTTATTGGTTCTTTGCTTTTGCATTCTGCTCTTTTGCTATTTTTATTTTGTTTCTAGCTTATAAGTTGTTGTTTTTTTTTGCATGTTCCAGCAATATATATATATATATACCTATTTCAAATGCCAAAAGTTACAGTTGCCTTTGCCTACATCTAGGCCGATATGCAGTCCCTCGCAATATTCAATTTACACACACATATAGCTTGCTCGGTTCTACGCTCTGTATTTGTATATTTTGCACATATCTTTTAGTCTTGTTGCAATTTTGCTTTTCAGTGAACGAACGTTGTTAAATGCGACCCTTGAAATAATTGCACTTTAGTTGCGTTTGGGTTTTAAAGAGCTGTGGTCGATTCGGAACCTCTATTTATTTACCTCTAAACCAAACAAGGCAGAGACTATCTGCCTCATTGGCAGTTTTATCTTTATAGCAGACGACAGAAATACAAATACATATATATATATATATTTATATGTATATATGACTAGAGCGATAAAAATATTTGTATGCGTCAAGTTAGGGATGTAATACTTATAGGCCTTATAGGGCAGTTGGCACCATTATTCAATAAACTAAAAAGCGCCAGTGTATCAAACGGATTTCTGATCGAATAATAATGGTAAGCAGACACTTTCGCATGGACTAATCGAGCTTACTCGCGTATTGTAATTGTTTTTTATATATAATTTACATAAAACGAAGTAGATTATACTCGTACCTTTGAAATGTGCATATAGATATCTACTGCTGAGAAAGCTTTTTAGAAATCATAAACTGTAAAACTCAACTAGTATTCAATTATTTTAAATTAGTAAATATAAATGATACAAAAAAAAATGTAGCAATCGAGCTTGTAAGCTATAACGAAGCTTCACAACTTAAAATAACATATTTAAATAATATTTTTATGCATACGCAATAAAAAATGTATAATAATAATTATAGCTATGGTAAATATACTATAATAAATCATTTGTAAACATAATTAAGGTGTACTTTCTTTTTTCTTTCAAAGATAGATTAAAATAAATTTCTGTTAGATTCTGGAGGTAATCTAGGAATGATTTGTATTACAGTTAAATAAAAATGCCTATTACTTAGTTATTTTTTATAAAAGTGTAATATCAAATACCCTTCGAGTTGGTTTTTACTTTGGTAATCGTTTAATGAGTATAAAGAATCTTAAAGTGTCGATTAACTCGGTTTGTTTCTGTGCTGTAACTAATGGAACCCTTTGGCAGATTTTAATTGTTAAATATTGTTGGTTGTTTTATTATTATTGTTAATTATTTACTTTGTGTTTTTTTGCTAGTGCAGTATTTATTAAAATTTGTATAAATTATCTTAATTAAAATATGTGCGATGATGGCGCATTTCTCTTTCTCTCTCTCTCTGTCTCCCCCTCTCTCTCTCTCGTTCGGACGGCTTATTTGCTCACGCATCCATACGATCCACAGATCAACGAAGCTCTTGATTTGGCGCTGGAAGCTATTGACAGGGAGGCCAACTGCGCGCCGGAGGATATGGAGGAGGAGAAACAAAATACCGAAAGCAAAGCGAAGATGGAGAAGTTGGAGGATGAACATTTGGAAGAAGCGAAATTAGATACTATTGAGATAAGGGCGAAAGGGGAGGAGACGAATATTGCAATGCCAAATAAAACGGATGAGCAGAAAACAGAGGAGGAGCTAGAGAAACAGGATATTGAGGAACAACAACAGCAACAACAACAGCTGACAATCGAGACAAAGGAGCCCATCTATGAGAACATCAAGTCGACTATATCTATGCAAGAAGTAGATAATGAACAGACAGCGAGCACAATGTTAATAAGACGTAGCCACATAAGAAGCATTCCAAATAATAGCAACAATAACAATAATAACGAGCATAATCAAACTAACAGTAACAAAAACAACAACAATAAGAGCAGCCGCAGCAGCTTCCAAATCGAAACGAATGCAAAAACAACAGCTGTTGACCTAGAGCCCTATTACCAAGTGCCTAAAGCAACAGAGCCCTATTACGATGCACCCAAACATCTCCGCCCTATACCCGTCTACGAGAACATTGACATCTTCTACACGGGCCTGGAGATGGGCCACTGTGTCGCTAGTTTGGCTCCAACACTGGAGCCGCCCAAGGAGAAACCACCGCCACCCCCCACAGAGGAGATAAATAAAGTCAGCCTCAATGTACATGATGATGATGAGTTAGATGCCGGTACCTGGTCTTCGGACAACACGTACGAGACCATAACCAGTAGTACGCGCCACCAGCTGCAAAGTCAACCAGGCCTGGGCATGCCCACGACGCCGCCCATAAAACGTATGAATTCGACAAAGCGGATCAAGAATGAGCTGCGCAACAAACGTTCCAGTTTCCTGGGTATCGAGACCGACGCCGTTCTCGATGATGTAGACAGTTATCTTCAGCTTACGGTGGCTCCACCACCGGATATGGCGCAGCTGCTACAGGAGGAGCAACGGCTCGAGAAACAACTGTACATCAAGGCGGGTCTCTGTGACAGTTCAGATACAGGTAAGTGGTGGGCTTGGCTGCTACAGGGCTGAAAGCCAAAAGAGCTAAAAACCGAACAATTAGTGTAATGGTAAGAGCGGTAGGTAGGGTATGGCAAGAGCTGTGGAAATAAAAAGTGAGCTAAGTATAAATAATCCATTTAGTGCCTGTAACATGATGGGAAATGTGATTCCCTATTCAAAGCGCCCCTAACCAAGTAGAGGAGAACAGCTGCCAGTAGACTGAATTTAGCAAAATGTATATATAAACTAATCAGTTAATTAAAAAATTAAGAACTTTTTATTTATTACATTAAAAGCTTTATAAATTTGTATTCATCTCATATAGATAGAGAAATGTTCTATCGCTACGTCTAAACTCCAATTTGTTACATTCAGGTATAAATGGACATATTTAAATTTTAGTTAATTTCGGGAAAATCACATATCCGTAGATTTGTAGAAAAGGGCAAAGTAACTACCGATTTGCTTAACCCCTAATGGGTATTTATATTTATTTATATTTATATAAACTATATACAATTAGTCATTGTTTATACGAGAATTTGTTCCAAATTGGAAGTGTTTAGCTTGTTTCGAAAGAATCTTAATAATGATGCTCGTGTTAAAATAGTGTTTCACGACTTAACTCCGACTCTAATGGGAGTTTCCAAAAATTGTAACACTATATGTTCCACATTTTCCGTCTTTGTGGGCAAACCTCTAGATGGCCAAACAGCAAAATGTACATTGCAGAATTGCAATTGACGCATCTTACTTAATTTCCTAATTTTTTATATACAATAGATATATAAATTATAAACCAATTTAATATTCTCCCCTGTAACAGGTGAAAGCCGAGACTCGGGAGTCTCAGAGAATCATTCACGTCAAAGTAGCGAGCACTATACGAACTCTTCAGAGGAGAACGATACCCAATCGGAGGCAACGCCGCCGCCGACGGAGGAGCTGGCGCCATCACAACTGGTCGGCGATATCATCTATCAAAACAAATCGCTGCTGGCCGCACAGACCCCGCTGCTGCAAACGGTAAAAGGCAACTCTGCTGAGTCGTGGACTGAATCTGCTACGGCGGCAGCGGCCGCAACCCAATCGCTGAGCGAGGCCACCGCTACGGCCAATGCAAAGATGTTATCCATTGAAGAGAAGATACGGGAACAAGGCGAAGTGCTACGCGCAGAACGTGAGCTACTGCAGTTCTCGGTAAGAGTAGAATTCGTCTAGTCAGTAATACTGCAGCTAATTGCTTTAAATTGTATATATTAAAGCAGGAGGAGCTGAAAAGACAGCGTGAGAATCTTCTGCTGCGCGAAAATCTGGCGCGTCGTGAGCTGCAGCATGGAGTTAAGATGTTGATGTCTAACAATCGGCGCTCGTTACAAGATTTGCACCAAGGCTTGGGCATTGCCAATGGCATGCTAAGCGCCTTTCAACCACCACAGCCGCAGCAGTCCGTGCAACAGGCAGCGCAGCAGATATATGCAAATGTACCCCAGCAACAACAGTTGCAGGTGCAGCAGCAACAACAGCAGCGATCATTGCCAAATGCACAGTATCACTATCAGCAGCTGGACAAGGACTATCGCAAGTCCATGTCAGATCTGAATGAGTTCTCCAAGCGTCTCATGCTACCGCCGACGCCGCCCACAAAACCTTTACGCGCTATGCACTTCAACACCAATGGCCTCAGCCTGGAGCCGGACTATTCGGTTAGTAAGCGACAACGCAATGCCTACGGCGGCTCTTTAGTCAAAATTGCAACAGCTGCGCCCGCAACGCATCACCAAGCTAATATAGCAGCTGCCGATCATCATCAATCGGTGCAGAACCTGAGCAACATGTCGCGCAACACGCTGCTGGCACTGAGTGCTACTCCCAAGCCTAAGTACACCGATGGCTGGGTGCAGGTACAGCAGCAGCAGCAGCAACAGCAACAGCACCGCAATCTGGTCAATGACGCCGCTTGGCTCCAAAAGCGTAAATCCATGCCAGACTATAACGGGGCGCTCTACAACAGTAACCATGCCAATCACTGGCTACTCCAAGAGGCCGAACATCGCCGTCTACTCGAGCAACAGCAGCAGCTCCAGCATCTGCAACTGAACAGGCGCTCGATGCCCGCACCCACATCCAACGGAAAGCCTCTGCCCGATTCTATTATACAGACGCTTACAGAACGTGTCCACAGCAAAGGCATTGGTGAACGTAAGCGGTAGGTATTCGTCACCATAAGCAAAGAAAGTAGATTTGTTGCAGTAGTTGCTGTAATAGAGTTATTTTAGAGCTTTTTGCTTAGAGCTCTTTTCGTTTACCATGTATGGTGCACTCGGATTTACTATGTCAAATGGGCCATACCCATTATTTTGGAACTGCTTGCAAATCTTTGTCGAGATAAGCTATGGAGTTGTAATGTTTTAGTTTGACATACTAATGGATACACCCATCAGGATATAGATCTAAACACTTTGATTGATTGATAAAATCCAAACGCCATTTAAGCTTTTGTTGGATAAGGCTCGACGCCCGTAAAGATGAATATATGCCATGTGCCATGTGCCATGTTATATACATAATGCTGCAAATTATATATACTTGTATATCAATATAACTTATTAAATAGCTTTATTATTATTTTTTTATTGAACGTCATACATGAACACAGATTAATCTGATGCAAAAATAAACAAGGAAGCTCTAGTTGAGGGTGCCCGTCTAGAAGATACCTATTCAATAACATCATATATGGCATATTTCTGATTTCTTTACACAAAAGAGCTCATCTAGTTGAAAATTTATATTACCAGGTCATATGTGTATATGTCACACATAATTAATAAAATAAAAGCAATCTGTTTAGATTTAATAATAATAGCATAAACTTTATATATATTAATATTAATTATTGTCACCTAAATATAATCCTATTTCTTCTATTTTTATAGTTTCGACAGTAATGGAACCTATAGTCAGTTAATCAACAACAACAACAACAGTAACAACAACAGCAACATTGTTATAAACAACAGCAGTAACAGCAGCAATCAAGAGAAGATGCTCAGCGTTAGTGGCAAGAAGAAGTGTTCGCATTGCGGTGACGAATTAGGTAAACTTTGCTACTACGTTGGTTGTGAGTGTGGTTATTCTTCTTCAACTTCTATTTCGACTTCAGTTTAAATATTGATTCCATGTATAGGCTCGTTAATTAAATATAATATATACATATATATATATATATATATATATATATATATATATGCAATAGTTCATGGCCGTAAACACATCAATAACGTTCATACGACAGCTTTCTAGAGTGAAATACAGCACACTCATTAAAGGATATATAATATAAACTTCATTTACTTGATAGAAGAAAAAATATCAAATTAAAATTTTTATTTAATGAAGTGAATTTTATAACTTATATTTTAAGAACAAATTATTCAGTTTCCAAGTATTCCATTACCTTGACTTAAAATTGCATTATCTTATTGACATTGCATATAAATTTGCTAGTATAATAATTATCAGAAATCATTATGCCAAGCATTACATTCCTGTTTATCGTTTTTATCTCTATTTCTCTCTATTATCTCTCTTTTACTCACTGTGTATACATGCCTTCCCAGATTTGGGTTGCACCCATGATAATTGCCGACAAGTCCACAAAGCACTCAAATATATTGTATGGGTGTAAATCAGAGACTTAACTAATTACGAAAAAATTATACATTAAATTTACACTAAATATAGCTGCATTTTAAGGCTGCCAGCAAGGTACTTGGGGCGAAAGCTGCCTATAATCATTTCGATATATATTTTATTTATAGCTTACATTTTGAGATACCCTAATTTTGGCATTGTCTTTTGGTGCAGGTCGCGGAGCTGCCATGATAATTGAATCCTTGCTACTGTTCTATCACATCAATTGCTTCAAGTGCTGCGTGTGTCATGTGCAACTGGGCGACGGACTGAACGGAACCGATGTGCGCGTACGGAACCATAAACTCCACTGCCAAAACTGTTATTCCAGCGACGATGGTATCAAATTCAGTTGCGTCTAAGCTAATGAGGATGTCTGGATGGGCAATAGGTGGAAGATTGGTTGCAACTTTCGATTGTTGTTGTTTTGTATTACTAAATATATAAATATTTACATATTACCCACACATACAGGCATACAGCACATAGAGTATATATTAAATGTTAAAGCTAAAGTCAATTTATATGGCATATGTACATATGAATATAAAATGTTTGTCAGCTAGTTTTAATCAACGAATGTGAATTCCTGTTCATTTTTCCGAATTGCATATTCTTGATTCAGATTATCTTTTTATATATTATATGCATACAATCAAGCTATTAATATTATATATATATAAATATATATATATAGGTTGCAAGCCAACCTCTCTCGCTCTCGTGTTTTTTTCCAAAATCAAAGTGAAAATTCTGTGTATCTCTAAAGTCTAAAATTTGTATGTTGCAACTTATAAGACGATAAATTTTTATGAATGTTGTTACATTTTATTATCTTTCAAATTTTGTACATTTGCATGCATAGTTGCATGCATCGACACGTTTGTATGTTTCGTTTAGAAACAAATAAAACATAATGTAACACATTGATTATATAAGATAACATGCTGAATTGTCTATTAGTAGAAGAGTTTGTTCGTCCGTTCTACATTTTTAATTCATCTTGAAGACTTGCTTCTAGACACCGTATCTGTATACGTTAACCTCCACGGCGTACCCAATGTACCTTGAATGATGTAGTAACACACTCACACACATTTTCACACACTTACAAATTTGAACATATCTAATTCTAATTGTCGTTATTATTTGAATAACTGAAGCATAAACAAATAATTCGATTTAATATGTATTCTTGGTATTTTCGTATTCTTATTTATTGTAACTAAGCCTTGAATGTTATCCACATCCATTCAATGGTGAATATTATTATTATTATTGATTCGAACGTTAATCGGTATACAAAAAACTATTTTTCTGTAAAAAGGCAGCTTGAATTTAATTTAGTTTTAAATAAAGTATATGCATATTGCACTTATAAAAAAAAAAAGACATCTTTTATTAAGATCATGTCATTTCAGCATATAAAAGAAATGATTGACGAGAATTTTGAATTTAAAAATAGCACAAAAATATATTATGAATCAAAATTGAATTGTAAATTGTAACTATACAAGAGATTGAATGCATTGGAGACTCCAAGCACAGAAAAGTTATTATTTACTAACTAAAAATCAATCAAATTAATGCAGACAGGTAATGTTATCGACTCATTGAGTCTAGCAAAACACAATACCGTGAATTCCAATTTTTTGGTGGATTAAGCTTCTAACATTCCATTTTCAAATATATGGGCTAAGAACAAGTTATGTCGGATATTATACAATCATATACATATTTTTTGCAAACTCAGTTTTTGTGTCCAATATGGTTTCTATATGGACGCAATGCATTTACCAGCAATTAACAAAATTTGAAACATATACTTCTAAATTCTAACTAGATACTTCAAATAAAAAGTTTAATTTATATTCGTGTATACCCTACGCAGTACAGATTTGATAATAATCGTTATTTTGATTTGATTTTTTATTCGTAACTTAAAGAATAAAAAGTAAGAAACTTGAAACACTTCCATTATTATTATTTTTATTAAAGTTCAAGTAATTTTTAATTTGGAAAATGTATTCTCGTTGACAACGCAAGATCTAACATGTATGGTGGATATATCTACGCCCATTGACAGCCGTGCAAATTGGTTATTACTGTATCTTCTACAGTTTTAGATCGAGAACCCTAAAAATGTGGCACATCTATATATAGCATTTATACTTACGACGATTGGGGGCGTAACATTTTACTGCTAGAAACTTGAATATTAAATCAGTTACGGTTGACGGCCTCTAATGAATTTAAAGGAATTTTACGCGATAAATTGAAAGAATTGTATCTTCCAGTTTTTGATGCTTAGCCGCAGATAAAAATGTAAGGTGTAGATTTTCACGTCTATTTGGAGATGGAAAGTCGGGTAAAACTGTATATTCAATAACTTGAGACGCGCAAAAAATTTTCTAATTGGTTGTCATTTCGCATCAAAATATAATATTTTCATTTGGTATAGTATACAAATAAAAATACATTTTTCTAGGTGATCTGAGCCCTTTATTTTACTTAGACGCATTGATGGAAAAAGAGAGTACGTTGAATTTAGTTAGAAAAGAACCCATTGAGTCGCTCGTCAATTAAGCTGTCGGCAGGAAAGTAAGCTTCTCGTTAAGCTGCAGCTGCGTCTTGATCAATTGTGAGAGAGTGACAACCATTAGCAGATCACGAACATTGGCATTGAACATCTGCGTGAACTGCTCGTGTGACATGTGTGGCACAGAATGAATGAGGTCGAGCAGCTGGCGTCCGACAGCGTTATCGGGAGTCACTTTGTGTGCGATGACATCGTCCACGTATTTCAGTATAAGGTCCAGCAACGATTGCAGTTTAGTGGATGCCTCAGAGATCTGAGCCAGGTCCAGCATTGGTGGAACGGTCTTAGGTCGGTGTGCTGGCGATACGGCCACCGTCTTTTGCAAGAGCTTCAGGCCAAAAGTCTCAGGTTCGTAGCTAGTAAGTTCAACAGGTATGGGTGTGAACATGCAGCCAGTTTTGCCACCGGGAACGCCAAGCTGGATGCAAACATAGGCACGTAGGCCCATCCGACCACCCTGGAGAGAAGTATCCACAGTTAGGTGGACCGGATTGTTGCACTCGCGGGCATAATACTCGTGTATGACAGAGCTGTGATTCGTCACCTCGTTGCCGGTAGCCCACCATCCGACGACGTTCTCGTTGGCGTTCACCTTCCGATTCAGGTCGTACATATCCAGGGCATAGCTCAGCTCTGCTTCCACCTGGTCATCGTGCTCTTTGTGCGGTACACAAAAGCAGTTTGTAACCTCGACAAATCCCTTGTCAACCGAGCCCAGCAGTGTGCCGATAACACGATGTGAGTCTGCATTGCGGCGTTCGAACGCATCCACAACTTGGAACAACACAACCGGATGCACGCGCACGGTCAAATTAAGCGCCGACATCGTTATTTCTTTTAGCGCAGAAAGTACAAATTTACAAATAATTTAGCAGCTGCCACGCTGTGTGAAAAGGACCTAGGGATGACAGAATGTCTACGATAGATTGTGGCGGGCAGCCGATATTTTTCAGACTGTCCACCTGTACGAAAGATAGGGAGCACATTCGAAAAGTGCTGCCAAGCTATTGAGCTCACAACAGTTGAGTTATGCCTCAACTACTTGTATTTAGTCGATAAATATCGAATTGAAATTTAGGGCACTATTTTTTTAAATCTTAAGTCGTTCTTTTTTTAAATTCCAATGTTGCTGATCTGGCTACAAGCCTCCCAAGAAACTCAAATTTTTGTTGGTACATAAAAACAAATTTTATTAAATAAATTTTTTACATTATGCTCACTTAGCATAATTACGCTAGGGGAAGTACAGCTAAATCTACGGGAAATTAGCCCATACAATGTGGGCTTGAGCGCTAATACATTATTGATAGATTTCTAAAAAGCCCTTTAGTTTACATTAAAGACACATGCATTTTTGTATATATTTAATGGAAATACATTCAATCTACTGTTAGTTTCTACCACACCTCACACTTGTGCACAGGATTCATGGGCGAGCCTTCAGGGCATTGGAAGTCCTTAGCAAAGTCCTTCATATTGCTTAGCGAGCCAAGGACACGGAATTCCGACGGCGAGTGCACTCCAGTGGTGATTCTCATTTTTAGAGATTCTGTAAGAAAACACTTGCGTAGTATGTTTGATCAATAACTGCATATTTTTAAAACTTACCTTTACGATATTTGGCACACCAGGTTTGGCCAGCTGAGATCCAGAACATTTGCTGTGGTGTGTAGTCCAAACCGGGAAGTTTGGGCTCCGTGCCGTGTTTCTCTACCCAGCGCTTATATGCGATATAGGACTCCTTAACTCCACCATTATCGGCTATATTTTCGCCCTGTGTATTGATTCCATTCAACTATGTAGAAGGAAAAATCAGGCATATTTAGATAAGTAGCTCTACAGCTAAATTTAAAGCAGACTCACATTCAAGCCAGTTGCACGCTCCGTATAATTGCCATATTGATCAATTATACATTGAGCTTTCTTCAAATAGGCCTTCTGGGTGTCAGGCTGCCACCAGTCGCGTAGATTGCCCTTGACGTCGAACTGGCGACCCTGATCATCAAATCCATGAGTGATTTCGTGGCCAATGACATAACCAATCGCTCCGAAATTCATGTACTTAGGTCGCTGGGCATTAAAGAAATGACCTTGCAGTATGCCAGCTGGGAACTCTGTGAAATGAAAGATGACGGATATGGTTTAATCTGGCTTCTCCTCCTTCTCCACGACTTACGTATGCTGTTCTCCAACGAGGAATAGAAGGCATTCACAATAGCTGGACGGGCATGACGTACCCAATCCGTTTTGTTGACCGGCAAACGCAGCTTATTAAATGAATAGTCCGTCCCAAAGATGTTCATGTTCAAAAAGGACTCGAAATATGCATCTGGATTGATATCAAGTTTCTCATAGTATTTGGCAAGTTTCTCGTTGTCTAGCATCTCATCGGGGTACCCAATGTGGGTGGCCATACTATGCAACTTAGTTTTGGCCTCTTTTTTGGTCTTTTCGTCCATCCAGTTAACTTCATCTAAAATATCGCTGAATACCATGCGTATATCGTTGACCATTTCCAAAGCATTCGCTTTCGAGTCCTTATTGAAGTGCTTGCGTACATATAGCGATCCCACCGATATGCCGAGGCTGATTTTAATTTAACATTTGATATGGTTAATAGATTGAAAGTTTTGATCATGCATTGTTGTTGTTGCAATAGTTGTTGTAGTTCAGTGAAATTTTTATTGATTTGTGATCAGTTGAGAGTTATCATGAAAGCGAAACATAAAATGAATATCTTTATGAATTATATACTTCAAATAAATAAATTGTATGCCAATGCTCAAACACCTAAATAACTAGCGAGAGGGACCTATCAGCCATTTAAGGTAGTAGAAGCTTTTTAAAATAAAAGCTAAATGGATCCATATTCTAATTCATAAAAAGTACATATATACAATATATATATATAGAATGATAATTGAATGGATTCATTTTGATGCCCAATGCTCTACTGATTTTCAGTTGCCTAAAAACATAAAGGCGGTGATATATGATGAAAGTTCTCTGTGTCATGTATGTATATGAGTGGGGTATGTGAGTGATCTTGGACGTTGAATTTCTCTAAATACCTATCAACATCTGATTCGAGATCGTCAAGTTCACTGCAAAATCACAAAGAAATCAATCAGAAAGTAAGCAAACGAACACAGAAAAATTGCTTGCAATTATTTTTCAAGCACCTAAACGAGTCCCCGACACCTTTTCCAAAATCTAAAAAATAGTATTCGGAAGCTTGTATACTAACCTGCCGGAGGCAATATCAACACATTCCTTCCAGCGTGCCTCCTGCTCCTGGCGACCGGATAGAGCGGTGGCATACTGCAGCTGCCGCTTGCGGAACTCCTCGCTCAGAAAGCCAATGGAAAAGGCATGGATGCGCCACATCATGTAGTTGGCAATCACACGATTTGGCGTCTTGGCAAGCAACTTGCCCAGCTGCTCGAAGAATGGCGGCACGGTCAAATTGATTATCTCATCAACCTGCACAGAGAGGCCTTCGGGAAGCAGTGCATTCATATAGTCTACCCACTGGACGTACGGATATGCTATCTGTAGCTGCTGCGTGGTACGAGGATTGAACAGCTCAGAAGAGTTCCGGCGCTTCTCATTGGGCCAGGAAATCTAGACAACCCGTGGCATTTTGTTATAGTTATGGATTTATAGAGAACTAAATCTGTTTGTGCATACGTTAGCTAAAGCCATTTCGAATTCGAGAGATAACAGCAGCTGTTCCTTGGCCTGATCTTTGTTGGCACCAAAGAGCACCGCAATGTCCACCATGTAGTCATAGTAAGCACTAACCAGTGTCTCATTGAAGCCTTTTATCAGGTACTCGCGACTCAGAGCCAGTGCCGACTGATCCAGCTATATAGAATATAGAGATTTTCAGATATCCTAATCAGTTGAACACATTTAGATTGCTGGTTTTACTTACGTCTATAATACGTTTTGTACTGTTCTGCAGATCGACTCCAATGGAGAAATCAATGATATAGTCCATGCTAAAGCCGGATTTGCGGAATTTCTTGACCTGCTCCTGCCAGGTCCAGCTGTCATCCGAATTCCAGCTATCACCCTCAATCAACGGCCAGCCGCCTAGAGACTTGGCTATTTTGGCAATGGGAGCGGCGCCCAGAGATTCAATCAGCGCTGCAGAAAAATACACATTAGACTCCTTAGATTCATAGCTACAATCCGATACATACTCTTGTTCATGCAGGCCTTATAAAGCAAATTTGGCAACCGGAAGTGTTTGGGCTCTGTGGCTGGTCGGTCAGCAGTGATGATGTCTTTAAGCTGCTCCTGCAGCTTATCCGAGATAACAGAGAAAGTACTGATGGAAACCTTGTCATCGGGTATGTTCTCCTCCTCGATATAGGTGCCACAAGCAAACTCATAGAAATTGTCGCACGGCTCTATTTCTGGGTTGATCTTGCGTAGCACCGTGGAGGCAGTGTGTATGCACTCCTTGGTCAGACAGACATTCTCCGCCGTTGGCTTCTCCTTGCTCTCCATTCCGGGCACCTTGTTCATGGTAGTGCTATCGCCATGCAATGCAGTTGCTTGTGGCGGAGCTTCTGGCAGATCAGGGTCTGTGCCCGCTTCTTTTCCTCGGAGTGTATCGAATCCCCACATTCCAAAGCTCGTAGCCGCAACTAGAAACAAAATACTGCTCAGGATTAGCAGGCTACGTTCCAGCTTGGTGCGTCGGCGCCACCAGTTGGGATTCCTGTCACGGCAGTAAACAAAAAAGAAGAAAGAAAACGAAGTGAAGATTAGACGCGTGCAGCACATACATCTTAATTAAAGAACGCCCCGCAGTGCGCGGGTTAGGCAAAAGCAAATTTCTCTTTGGCCTGGGCTTGTTTTCGATGTTCAGCTTTTTCTTTCTCGCCTCGACATCATCCACAATTAATTCACTTTTTCTCTGGCTATCACCAACATTGGCCATTTCGTTTATATTGTGTCGGCCTCGCGGTTGCTTTTGCTCGAAACTTGTTTACCAATATGAACCCCTCTGCGTCACATTCCATTAGCAAATACACTGAGCAACAAAATTGAAGTTGTCATTCGTATGATAATATACGCGGCTTCTGCGACAATTTCACTTTTAGTGTTCGTGACAAAAGCTCTAACATAGCTTTGATAGCCGTCAGATCTAGAATTGTCACTCATAATAGTAAAAGATTTTTAAGCGAAAAGGAATATTAATTGAAATGATCATAATAAGTAAACGCAGATCAAATTTGTTTAAAAATAATCGATAACTGCTCCCGTTTTAATGTTATCGATTAAAAAAGGTTATCTAAATTTATGTTTTAAATTATAACTCATAAATCTTTGGAGCTAAAGTCGCAGAAGTTTGCAATTAGTTTCATGTTTATATTATTTTTGTTTTTATAATATTTTGAATACCGGCTATATCAAATATATGAAATACTCCATAGAATATAGGTCATATGCTTATTTAAATCCCATAACTAACCCAGAAGTTACGAAGCTAAACTTTTCGCATTTTCCTGCATCCCGCAGTCTTTTATATTCGAAGAATCGCAAATGCGATTGAGTTGTGTTTGAATTCTTTGCTTTAGTTTATATTTGATATTTAGCGGACTGCTCTTACGGGTGGCGGTGTTAGTAGTGTGTGTTGCACGAAACGTGCAACCTAAAAAATTTTAATATGCTTTTAATAGATTTGTGTAGTATATTTAAAAAGGCAGATTGGACGGAGCCCTCTAATCGGACACAATAAGTATTCTTTAATAGTACAACGAGCTGATTTGATCCATCCTTGCGCGAGCTATACATTTGGAATTTAAATAATTCATTAAAACCGTAATCCAGTTTAATTATTTAGGCATATCTCGTTCGTCTTTAAAGCTAGAGTCGCCAAATTAATAAGTTTGTGTCCTGTTTATTTTATACAATTAGATTTATTTAATGTAATAGATATTGCTCCCTAATTTAAGAAGAACAATAATATTGAAGCAATATTTCATATGTAACCTATATTAAAACGAGTTTTCATATGGATGGTTTTAGGATGACCCACATATTAAATGGAATATTGTGATCTTGTGCTTAAAATTTCAATGAAATCCGTTAAGTTATACAGAAGTTATTAAGAAAACATGTGCATTATTTAACTAATTCTATAAATAAATGTGGAATTGCGATTGTGCATTTTGCATTTGTCACATTAGTAACATGCGTTGATTTAAAATATGCGAAAGCAGAAAAAATTATTGTTATGGTGCTACGGGTTATTATAATTATTTGAGAGTCTAGGCATTATTTTTATCAGTGGGCACAAGTCTCTAAATACAGAAAGAAAGGCCAAGGATATCTTTAGTCGGATATATTCGGCTAGAAAATAATTAGTTATTTTTATTGTATTGTCTCTAGAAACAAAAGCAATATAAATTACATAATTGTTTTTCTGTTCACCTTAGATACTACAATTTGTTCGATGTGGAATTGCTGTTTGCTATGCGCAATAAATACTTGTATGGCATATGATTAAGTTAGCTTTAATTAAATATTGACCTATACTCAAATATATTTCTGGTAGCACATAAGTACTGCCGGATAAATTATAAACCAATGAGTAATTGCCTTAAGCCTGTTGCAAAGTGTTCATTAATTGTACACTTCCTTCCTTAGCAAATGTGTCTTAAATTTCGAAAATTTAGCAAGAGCTCTTGGTAAATAAAAATAGATATCGGAAACAGGTTCTTTTTATGCCAATTTCGAAATGTGAGACAGTCTGTATTTGGATGTATTAAACACATAATAAATATATATATATATTAGCTGGTAAATGTTCATTTCTGTGACTAATGATTTTTTAGTACGCTTCAATTTATCAATTACAATTACAATTAATCTACTCCATAGCTTGTAAGCTTATAGAAATATTCCAGAAAAAAGTTGCAAACTCAAGTGTAGTTAACAATGTGCATATGTATGTAGGAAAAATGAGTACTCTTGGCGCTTTCAATAACTTTTTCACAATATGATCTACGTATTTTATTGAATTTAGTAAAAATGCTGACCCTTTCACATATTAGCTATATATTATACTGAACTTCATTTTTAAGAATGTCGGGAAATTTGGAGCTGGTATTGAAAATATTACAACAATCAAAACATGAAACTAACTGTAAAATTGGGATAGTTTTCTCTTTTTCCCCGATAACATTAAAATGGGAAAAGTTATTGATTATTTGAAACAAACTTGACTACGTGTGCTGTATAGATATCCAATGTCAAGTCTCTAAGTCTTTCTGAGATCGACTCGTTTATTCACACGTGCAAACGAACAAGTCTAAATTAAGAATATATTCTATATATGCCACGGTCTGCCATGCCTCCTTCTAACTGTTACATACATTTTAAAAACCCACTATACTCTGGTTTGCAGCTTTCAATGGATTCAGGGTATAATTATAAAACAATGATGCGCACTAAAACCGAAAGTTATGAGTATCTATTGGTGCCGAGTCCATAGCCACATCCGCTTTTAATGAGCGATTAAGCCAGACTTTTTAAATCTATCTATTATGGCTGACTGCAGACTCATGGCTACACGAGCCAAAGGTCACCGTCAGACATATACCTATTTATATATATGTACACTTATATATGTATATACCTAGTATTACTTTTAATAACTCTCATTTTCACTTCCTTTTAAGATTTCTGTTATTTGAGGAACATGTAAAAATAAATATATGAGCTACTGAACTAACTGATTGAGTAAAAAACTGATTGTCTGACTGCAAAGCTTTTGTATTTTAGTCAATCACTTATAATTAGATTAATAAATATGTATTATTGGGATTTGTTCCTTGGATTGTTTGGGGCACAAAATTTGTGTTCATTTTTAGGGCTGGCATTCTTGAAAAATGAGTGTAAATGGCCCATGCGTTTCAGCCTCCGATAAATAATCAGATTGCAAAACACATTCAACTGCTCAGCAACAAATACAAATAAAAAACAGGAAAGAGTGCTCGAGACTTCCCGACTAGCAGATACCTTGAACCTACGAAGAGCTGTTATTCCGACCATTTTACGCTGTTATTAAATATACATTACGCTTGAGCTGCAGATGGGCTTCACTATGAGAACTTATTTGTTAAATAGCTTTTCATCTAAATGGACTTTTTAATCAAATTGTCAGATCGTAATAATAACAGTAACTTCTGCCGACTTGCTAAAGTAAATGTCTCTTGTATTTGAAATGGGAAATGAATCTATATATTTTTAATTTAAAGTCTCTAGACAGACGGACATGTCTAGATAGACTCAGCTTGTCGTCCTGATTAAGAGTATGTATACTTTATGTAGTCTGCCGCGCCTTAGCCTATTACATACGTTTTCACAAAAATAATATACCCTGAATTCCCATTTTCAATGTATTCACGGTATAAAAAAGCAAAAAAAAAACTAGCCATAAACAAAGCAATTACTTTGTTTAATGTGGCTGAACCTTTCTGCTATTGTTAAAGCCACAAAATAGAGCTGTCGCCATCAACAAAGTTGCATCGGCTGAGCAATAAACTAAATGACAGCCTAGATATTCGGCTTTAAATCAATTTGTAATTCAGAATGGCTTTTTTCATTATTTAGTCATAGGGGAAAGCAAATGAAAACCTAACATTGACCAACAATTTTTAGTTACTGTCATGTTAAATTCAAAACTAACAACAAGAGCGTCTACTCTTAAAGATATTGATTTTGCACACCGGTTGTCCCTATGTTGTCATAATAATATAACCCCGAAAAACAAAAACTTGGTACTAGAGATATTTTCTTCGGAGCATTTTATTGCTTGGTGAAAGTGGCAATACCCTCTTTTAGGGTATAAAAAACCAGTATTTATTTTAATTTTATTATAAATTTTTCAAAAAAAACTTGATCACAGTCAATACTTAAAATTACAAAATAAAATAAAAGATCAATTCAAAAAAAAAAAACAAGCAAGAATATTGCAGCCGGGAGCTACCAACTGCGTAATACTCACTCACTTCCTAAACACTGGGAATTCGAAAACCTTGGGACATATGTTTTTTCTTTCAATTTAACACGCTTTCAATTGGAATTGATAAATAATTTTTATTCAATCTATAGAAGCAATCTAAAGTAACGTAAATGTCCCATTTTAGGGCTAAGGCTCCACAATTGTGCAAATTACAGGGTATTTTCGATATGATATGCCTCAAAAAGAGCGGAACTTTATTCGTGTGTCGTTAAAGAAGGTCAACAGTAAATGTGCTCTAAAACTGCAGACGAAATCAATTCAAGCGGTTGGCCGTGTTTCCTTTGGTCGTTGATATATAATAAATATCTTTTTGATGCTAATTGTTCAAACGAAAATATATGCATATGACATTTTTACATTTAAATAACATTTGTACAAGACCCTATATAGTCATATACAATATGACACGCTTCTACTGGGCGTAGATATATAATATAACTGTGGAAGATAAAAATTTGCCGGATTGCCATGCCCCTATGGGCGTAGATATAATCACTATATATTTTTGATTTCGGGCTGTCAACGAGAGTATATGTTTCAAATTTCAATTTGCCATCACTCAATAGTGACGAAATGGGTTGCATTCATACGCACAGACGGACTGACGGACGGACTGTCAGCAAGAGTGATGGACAGCAAGACAGATATTGCACTAAGCCAATATACTCTTTCATTTCATGAATGAG